AATCACTAAAAAATTATTGACCCGGCTAGGATTCGAACCCATGCCTCCTAAGATCACCCCTGCCCCCTTGTCCCAAGCAAGCATGGTATTGCAACCATCTCACCAATGATCATCTATAAGGATTGGTTTATGCAGCACCAGAATTTGATTAAAAACTACCTAAATTGCACCATAAGTGCCGTCGGGGGTTCGTTAGTCATGAAGCTTATTGACTAATTGGAACTTGAAGCTTCCCGTCAGCAATTGCTTTTTTTTATTATACTTATTCTTTCAAGATGTGTCTTACTGAACCTATCTGGTAAAGTATTAAATATATTTACACGTAGACAATAAATTAATGAGTTTTCTAAGATGACTTGGTGGAGTCCAGGCCTAATTTACCTGTAAGGAAAGAAAGAGCTTAACAGAGAAGTGCAACAACATACCTGTACAGACATTCATGCCATTTCCACCCACATACATTTCTCAACACCCATATTTTATTTTATTTTTCACATACACATTACTGCCTTGTTTTAACTTAGCAACCCATATTCTTAACCCATTATTCTTTGTCTTATTGACTTCAGATGTGCTTGAGCAGATCCACTGTAAGTAATAATAGTTTTTCTCATCATGGTCGTAATTGTTCATCTTTTGATATGAAGCCATATTTATTAAACTCAGTTTCTTAATTTGTACACATGGTCTATAAGGTCAAATGCAAATGAGAATAGAAGTAGATTGCAAAATTTAATACAATGTTTTTTAATATGGTCTTTCACATTTATGTACTGTATTTTACTACACACATGCTATAATTAAAATAAGCAGAACAAATACTGTATTGTGAAGGAAGATGTTACAGGGCTTGGACACTGAACACCTAAAAATATAGTTCCTACCTGTAACAGGTGACAAAATGTGCATAAGCAACCAAAATCCAATTGTGATGAGCCTTGACCATCCGAACCCGTAAGGGATCTACCCAGCTTGACCCTAGATAAAATAAATAAAACCTGTTAGAACATTTGTGGGAATATATAATTATTGAAAAAGGAAAATGTGTAAATAATGCAGACAATGAGTCACAATAACATGGTTAAAGATATGAAGACTAAACCACACACCAGAAGATGAGGAAATGACGACGTTTCGGTCCGTCCAATATGGTCGGATGGACTAACATGCGCTATAAGGCAGCACATATTAGTGCGCTATATTAGTCTGGGGCTTCAGTCAATGGAGTTCTGCCTACCGGGAACCAGAGTCAGAACATGGCCCAATCAGAGAGGCACAGGGAGCAATGACCTAATGAGACCCCCCACCCCCTTGTATTTGGGGGTATTCCTTGTCTGCCATCAACTAGGGTTAGGCACCCAGAAAGGTAGGCATCTCAAAACAAACCCCACATGGTAGAAAATGCAAAAACCCAAGACTGAACAGAGAAATAGAACTCCCCCAAAAGAAAAGCAAAAGAAAAAGGAAAAAGGCAATCATCATTCACCGCCACTGCGCCACTTGTCCCCGCAGCCCTCCGCTTCCCTGGGAGAGGGAGGGGGGAAGCCCCGGACCCAAGCGCTGGCTCCACACACCTCAGTTTGGAGGCTGAGCATCAAAAACAAAACCACTGACCGGTTTGTCAGGCAGCCTCCAGGCTCACTCAGAAAATGGTGTTTCATAACATTCAATGTCGGTTTTCTGTGGGGAGCCCCTTCGGCTCCCTAGAGCTACATAACCAAAGATAAGTAAGAAACCAGTGTTGAATGTAATGAAACTCCATTTTCTGGGTGAGCCCTGGAGGCTCCCTGGAGCTATCGGGCTAATGTGTTATATATTAGACCGGAACATTAGTCTATGGAGTTTGACCTACCGGGGACCATGAGCCAGAACCTGGTCCCCCTCAGAGAGGTTGCAGGGAGTAATGGCCCTCTAAAATTTCCTGTAGTTGCGGGGTTTTCCTTATCTGCCATCGACTAGGGTTAGGTACCCAGGAAGGGAGGCATAACAAAACAAACCTTACATGGTAAGAAAAATTAGGCATAACAAAACAAACCCCACATGGTAAAAAAATTAAACTAAAAAACGACGAGAGGTAGAACTCCCTCCAATCACAAGGAAACAAGCAAACATCACACTCTTACTGTTGCGACGCTCGCCCACGTAGCCCTTTCCTCCCCGTGCTGCGCCAGATCCAGAACAATACCAGTTCGGAAACTAAGCATCAAATAACGTGAAAAACCGGTGACCTGAGGGAGGGACGGAGGGAGGGTTGCCAGGGAGCCTCCGGGGCTCACCCAGAAAATGGCCTTTCATTACATTCAATGCTGGTTTTCTGTGGGAAGCCCTTTGGCTCCCTGGAGCTACATAACCAAAGAATAGGAAAAAGAGGAACTTACCTGGGAGGCAGCCGTCACAAACTCCTCAATGCAAAGTTGAGACAAATGGCTGCAACATGTGACCCCAAAGCAACACAGGAATGCCTAGGAGCAGGAATATTAACCAAATAACAGACGGCCAGGACCCCGGTTCAACCTTCAAATCCCCCGCACACGAATATCAGCCCAAGACATGGTGCCAAACACAACAGCCCAATGCAGTAAACTTCCTAATGTCATGGGCACGAGGATAGACTTCAGGCTGGCTAGACTGAATAACCTTGCAGACGACCTGGGAGACCCGAATCCAGGAACAGGGAAGGAGGGAAACTGCTGAACCACTCAGATAACGATGGAAAGTCGCAACCAGAAACAACACATGATGCACCCCTAGCCAGACCAACCAAGCATCAATGACCCAAGGACCCCTCTTGAAAGCAGCCGTCTAATTCTTTGCTAGAAAAGAAGGCTGCAACTGAACAAACCTACCACCAGGATCAAAAGAGCAGAAACCCCTTGCACCAGAGGAGAACATGCAGCTCCCCGACTCGACCCCCAGAGGCCAATGCCAACAGAAATAGAGCCTCGGAAAAACAATCTTGAACTGAAGAGGACCACCACAAACCGAGGAGAGAAAAGATAGGAGAGCACCCCTGTCCAAGGACCAGGACGACTCAGGCGGTGCATGAACAGGCTGAAGGTGAAACAAAGTATAAGAAAGCTTACGAAACGGGGCAGAAATGACATCCACCCTGAACTTAAGCTGGAGCAGCGACACCAGTGCCGAACAATACGAGGCGACAGTATTCAGCATAAGATACCAGTCCTGAAAGAGCCAAGAAAGAAAGGACAAGGCAACCCAAACAGAAATAGAAGTCAGCCTACGAAGAGAGAGGAAATGGTGAAAAGACCGTCAAGACACTTCATGAGTAGTTCTCACAGGGCACTTAGGGAAGGTAGCCCCATGCACATGCAGCCCTTAGTACACTATAATACTCCTGGCCACTGTGACACAAACAGCAGGAAACACCACAAGTGCACAAAATCCAACAAGAATCGACAACAATCCCAGAGCACTTTAGACACGAACTGAGATGTGAAGATGGCGCATGGGTCCAGGGCTCCTCTCCTCCTCCCAAGAAGGAGAGGGCTGCGCAGACAAGCGGTGAGGCGGTGGTGAATGACGATTGCTTGTTTGCCTGTTTTCTTTGTTTTTCTTTTGTGGAGTTCTATTTCTCTGTTTGGTCTGGGTTTTTTGCATTTTCTACCATGTGGGGTCTGTTTTGAGATGCCTACCTTTCTGGGTGCCAAACCCCGGTTGATGGCAGATAAGGAATACCCCCAAATACAAGGGGGGTCTCCTTAGGCTATTGCTCCCTGTGCCTCTCTAAGGGGAGCCAGGTTCTGGCCCTGGTCCCCGGTAGGCAGAACTCCATTGACTGGAGCCCCAGAGTAATATAGCGCATATCAGTCCTATAGCTCCAGGGGAGCCAAAGGGGCTCGCCACAGAAAACCAGTGTTGAGTGTAATGAAATGCCAACTTTTGGGTAAGCTCTGATGGCTCCCTGTAGCTACTATATGCTGAGAGGGTACCATCTGCTAGGTTGCAACAGCCATGGAGCTCAATAAGCTTACCAGAGACCAGTGTCAAAATCTGGCTCACTAAGAGGTACAGGGAGTAATGACATCTATTTTAGCCACTTCTCCAGGAATTAAATCAGAAAGTCAGTGAATCAAAACAAACCACTGCTGGCTTCCAGAGAGACCGATGCCTCAAAACCCACCTAAAGAACTCCCCCAACTATGTAAACGAACGACTGAATGCTCTTGGAACTAGCAAAAGCTCATTCACCCCACTTTCTCCACTTGTTTGGGGAAAGGGGGGGCAGTAGCTCACTGCCAGTCAGCACCTAAGCCCCAGTTCTACAACAGATGTAGGCATCCACCTAACAACCTGGGAGGGAGGGGGATCAAAGAGCCACAGGGAACCACCCAGAAATTGGTCTTTCATTACATACAATGCTGGGTTTCTAGGGAAGGCCCCTTATAGCTCCCTGAAGTAAATTACAGACTGAGGAGAAAAATAATTTGGAACTCAAGTTTTTCCTCCAAGTTCTTCCTCCTACTGTACATCTTCCAGATATTCCTTTATCCTCCTGTAATCCACTTTCCTATAGTCAACTCTCCTTTCTCAATCCTTTTAGGCCATAGTCACAATTTTAAGTTCGATCATGTAGTCAAAGACCAGAACACAATGATCACTGGCTCCTTGCCATGTTCCAAATTCTCGATGTCTTCCTCATTCTGGGTTAAAATCAGGTCTAATAGGCATGGTATATCCCCTTCTCTTTACCTTGTATCTTCCTTCATATGTTGGGTTAGGAAATTCCTGTATACTATCACTAATTTTGCTCACAACATTCCTTTCCCACCATGGGGAGTCCTTGATTCCCAATCGATCTCTCCATGATTTAGGTCCCCCATGACCAGCCGTTTCACTCTCATTCTTTAAGCTGCTGTTGCTGTCCTCTGCAGTTCATTTATATATACAGTACCTTGTTTTCATCATATTCCTGTCTGGGCCTTCTACTATTTGGTTGGGAATCGTAGATTATCATGATCACAATCCCCCTTCCCATCTGCTGTCAGTCCTAAGTAAGGAGCTTGTGTTTCCATTAGTGTCCTGATTTCCTAGTTCCTTAACCACTGCACTGCGCAAAGCGCCTTTAGGCGCTCAGAGTTGTGCTTTTTGTTTTTTAATTTGACTATATTTTAATGTTTTTTAATGTTTTCATTACTATTTGTGTTTTGAAATGGAAATAGTTGACTTTGCAAACATTTTGACATTAAATTTACCTGAGCATTTGTAAAAATAACAAAAATATGTCCTTGACAATTGCACCAAGACGTTTTTACCGAAAATAGGTGAGCAGTGCAAGGGTTAAACTTCCATATCCGCTTTATTAGGAGTTGGACTAGACAACGTCTAGTCCAACTCTCCCCTCCTTGTCTCTGTGTCCTTTCTTTCCTCATCAACTGATAGTCCCCTGGAATAATTGTATGAGAGGTCACATCATTTTAGTTTCCACTATTGAAATTATGTCAGTATCTGTTTCATTAACCCTTTCTTTTATTTTCTCTCCTTTACTGGATACCACATTAGCATTGGTGTACAATACCTTTAGACTTTTTTGGAAACTCTTTTTACCAGAGTTCATAAATCTCTGTTCATTTACTTTCCTTAGTGTGTGCTGCAAGTGAAAGATGTATGCAGTCCTATCTCCAATAAGTGGTTGAGGCAGGAAATGCCTTGTAATAAGGATTAGAGGCTGAGGGGCTCTGAGACACAGGGGTCTTGGCAACCAGGATGGGTCTATGTCAAAAGGGCATAGTGGGTCTGAGAGGCATAAGGGGGCTGAGAGATAGATAGAGGCTGAGAGGAAGAGGGATGTGAGGGACAGAGAGGAGTATGGAGCATGGGGTGTGAGAGGCAGAGAGGAGTTTGGAGCATGGGGTGTGAGGGGCAGAGAGGCGTATGGAGCATGGGGTGTGAGGGGCAGAGAGGAGTATGGAGCATGGGGTGTGAAGGGCATAGGGAAGTATGGAGCATCTGGGTATGAG